TACGATTTTTTTTTGCGATTTGTATTCGCGCGCCAAACAAAAACAACACCAGTCAAGTCAATTTAATCTCATTCGAACGGTGCATTGTGCGATCGAATCTTTGTTATAGAGATCGATTGATCGAATCTTCTTTGTGGGGATCGTCGACAACTTGTGGACTCAGTGAAAGAAAAACTGATGGCACAACGATGAAACGGATCAATGTGGAAGCGCGATATAATTTCTACCCTGAAATCGTGCAGCTCGTGAACTGTTCTCTCTATTGAAACGGTAAGAGCCTCTTCATTGTGTAGGTTTTTTTCGGTTGAAATTTTCAGGCAATAATTAAGTCATTGTGATCGTCATCGTCGTCGCCGCCGCAACTGCTGCTGCCAAAATTAAAAATATTTTGTAATACATTTGGTTGGAAATATTTTTTGCCAAAAATAACGGCATTTATTTTTCGACCCAGCCAAGCGACCAGTACCAATTGACCTATGATAAATGGCGAGCGCTTACCAATCGAAAACCAACAGTAAACGGCGACGTAGTGAATTGCATCAACCGCGCTTGATCGGCTTGAATGCTTAATAACAGCAATTCGTTGTCGTTTTTTTTCAATTCGTTAACATTTCACCAATTTATTGGTGACGCCAGCCGTAATCGATGAATTGTGAAATGTATTCAACGCTAAGTTTTAATTGGAATAAATTGGAGTTGAATCCACCGTTCGGGAATGTATTTCAAGTTTAAGGTGACAATATGGAAAAAAATATGTCAACATTCTCCAACCGCAACGAAGACGAAAACATTACCACCAACAATAACGACAACGACGACGACAACAATAACGACGACGACGATCCAAACAATGATCTATAAATATAATAGTTTTCGGGTTAACATGAGCCAAAATTTTGAATCAAAAACACAGCGATGCGATTTGCCTTTGTTCCTCCTCCTCCTTCTACCGAGGGTATTTTTTTCACCTAATAATTGCTTTTGGCACAAGTTTTGGTTAACTTATGTTCGTTTTGTTTTCTAATTCGTGCTGTGGTGATGGCCATTTGTGGAATTTTTTTCACTATTGTTTATTGTTTACACTGCTGTTCAACAGCTTATGTTCATTGATTCCAAATTCAAAAGTGATAATCTGCCGAAAATTCGATTTCACATCCTAATAAAATTGTGTACAATAAATGAATGCAAAGCGCTCACTTTTTTGCTCGTCATCATCATCGTCGTTTTTCATCGACCTTGAATTTCAATGGTCAAGCAATTATGATACGGCCGAATATTTTCTTTCATTGACCATTTTTTTTCTCTTCACTTTGAAACATGTGATATTTTCCAATGGAGTAATCTTTTAATTGATGGAATGATAAAGCCTACACAGAGTTCTCTTTCAAGTTCGATTTGATATGTGTATGTTTTAGTATGGGCATGAGCATATGTTGGCATGTGGAGCACATAGAGTGTCTAACAAGTTGTTGTTGTTGTTGTTGAGAAGCGGCTGTCCTTCTTATACACGTGCTTTATAACAGTAGCCAACACAAATAAATCTTGTTTCTCTCGTGGCTGAAATGCAGCTGCAAGCCAATCACAGACATACAGCGAACGCACGTAATTGATTATTGCGGTAATAGCAATTCAAGTATAGTATAGTGTATAGTATAACGGTTGGATGACGTGCCTGACGACGACGTCACACCAAACGATGGTGAATGACGGAACTTTTGGCATACGATGACAAACTCAACATATGTGCGATGCATTTATTTTAATTACGTTTTTTTTTGAATCGCTCTCATTCTGACATAAAAAAAATCGTCTTATCATGCACATCAACATTCAACTAAGCATACCAACGACGTCAACCAAGTACCTTGACTCGGTCATTATGAGTAGGTTTTATAACTTCTAGCAAAAAAAATGTTTAATCAAAGAATGCTACACCAATTTTTCGCTGCCATTCACGCGCGAGCACGTTATGAAATCGACTTCTTCTAGAAGGTGCAGAAGGAAATTCAAAAAAAAAAACAAAAACAAAAATTATAACAGCCGCTATGGAAAACACAAATCAATCTCAATAATAATAGTAATAATACAACGGAACGAGGTGCGCATGCTACTCAAGAAGCGTTCACTTTTTCATTCATCAGTCGATATGTGTGCGCGCGAATCTCGTCAGCAGTGGTTGCACGCTCGCGAATGCGCACTCATTCGCTCGCACTTTGTGAATGGTGGCCAAATGATCGATGTGTGTGTGTGTGCATAGAAAAAATATGTTTGCTACACACACATTTGCAAGCAGCCAGCGATTATGGTGATTTGCTTCGCTGGATACGTGCAATTAGAATTAGGTAACTGTGAAGCTGAACGTTTTTCATGCCGATCCGTCGTTGTTGCACTCGAACCCAAGTCGAAAGAGAAGAAATTCCTTCGGCTCTGTTGTTGATGTTGTTTGTTGCTGTTGCTGTCTTCATTCCATGTTAAGTGTGTTATTGTTCTAAAAAAAATTGTTGCCTGATTACGTTAGTCTCATTGTTCTTTTTTGGGACGTGATTACGGCTGTTTGCCTCTGCCGCTGCGAAAACAACGACATTTTGCTTCAACGACTGGAGCTTATGCGATTGAATTTAGCATGCGAATGAGCAGCAGCAGCTACATCAAGATATATGAGTGTATTATTTGTTTTTTAATGACTTTCCGGGTGAAACTCACAAAATATTTGTGCAAAATTACATAAGTGATCACCTGGCTAAACACACAACACGCATACAATTGCACACATTTATTCAGATTTCCGCATAGCAATTAACTTATTAAATTCATCTGACCTTCTTCTTGTTATTCTTCTTTATGATAGATTGCGATGATTGTCTCATTATTTTGCGAATGCCAACAGCAACAACAACAGCGACTACAACAATAACAGCAGCAACAACGAAAAACAGATCAAAATTGTTGAAATGACAACAATTAGCCTTTTTGGTTAAAATTGTTTTGTGTGAATTTGCTAAATACACCAGATACTATTCATCGGGGCTTTTTCTGTTCGGCACTTTTCACACAATGCTTCTATTTGAGTGGGAATTTCAGGCTGAAACGAATTCTCTGATAGCGAAATAAATGTGGCAAAATATCAGCATTTAAAGTCGGTTATTGAAGATTACATCCAAAAACGAAGAATATTCAATGGACCAACACCAAGAATGGGACCAACACAAAAAATGCTGCTTTGATGGTGGTGTCATCACATAATTTCAATGCAAATCGTCGAAAGTAATTCTTGACCTTAATTCAGCGGATATTTTCAATTAAAAGAAGCAACACAAATATAGCAATAGAATGGCTAAGCTTAAGCGAAATCATGCAAGTCATTTCGATTCATTAGTTAAGCCACTTAATAAATTTGCGTTAGAATATTAAATATGTAAAAAAAACCATTTGAATATATTGCAAACAAAAGCGTTCGAGTTTCTCCTGTGCGACGAAGCGCTGCCAAATTAATTTCCATGTTAATTCGAGTGCCATTTGATTTCTTTTCGTCAGCGATTTCTCGAATGAGCGATCATAAGCCCAAAATGACGACTACGACGACATAAAACCTACGACAAAATTCATAGACCTTAAGAAGGTGAAACGACCGACAGATAACAACATAATTAATTTGTAATTCGTTGAATAAGTTCTGAATCGTGCTGCTGCCGTTCGTTGAATACGTTGTTCAAGGGCTTTGAAATGATATAAAATAAACGGTATACGATAAAAATACGTATAAATATTCGTGATTGATTACGGCGACACATTATATTCGTGGGTCCAATGTGAATTTGCACACTTGATGAATTCGATAAGGTGACAGCGACAGTATTTTTATGCGTTGACAAGGTTAAAATGCACCAAAAATAAAGACTTAATTTTCACATGGTTTTGTGACGGTGTATTGTCAAGCTTAAAGTAAAAAAAAAGCCATCCAACATTCAGCTGAAACATTATCATCTTTGCCATCGAAAAATGTTTAACATTCACGTGCCACTGAATTCAGTAACAACAACAACAACAGCAGCAACAGCAGCAGAAAAAAAACGCCTCGCAAAGAGAAATGAATGATGTATGAGACTGAGAATGAATGCAATATTTCAGATCAGAAAAGTCATGGATGCACACAATATAAGCTTTGATCTTTAGCATGTCGGGTGTTGTGATCATCTTCAGATAAAAATTCAACTTGAACATTGTGTGACAATGTTTTACCTTGTAATACTTGCACTGCACAGCTCGATTCACCGATGCACTTTGTGCTGTGGTTTGCGGTGCTCAACGATTTATCATAAAAATAAACATAAAACAAATTCCGATTCGACGCAAGCGACAATTATAACTTGCACTCGACAATGAAAAACTCAAAGAGGCGACGAACCGCCCCGAAGCAACGACAATGACGACGCAACACAATTCACAATTGCCTTTGTTTTGAGCATTCGTCGTTGGTGCTGCTGCTGCTGCTGCTGTCGCCGCCGCCGATGTTGTTTTGCTTGTTGCTAGAGCGTTTGTCAATTGACGATATTGGCACAAGCATTGTGAGCTGGTTTTGTTGTCGTGTGCTTTCTAAGTGGACTGTTGTTTGTACTCTTTGTACGGTGTGTACGCTGTGCTTAACAATTCGTTTCACATACTTGAGTTGCGTTGCTTGCATACTATTGCTATGTACACTTGTACACTCTCAAAATACTTCGATTCTGTCATATCGCCCATCGTCAAATTATTTCGCATTCACAACGTTTTCTGTGCAAATATGCAAAAAACAACATGGAAAGATGATTTGTATTGCATTAGCAATACAATGAAGTCAAACAACGAATAGTGACACTCAGCTTCCAGCCAAAAGCATTGTCTTTTTTTCCGAATATTTTGTTGAACAAGTGTTTCTATGAATAATGCCAATCGATTGCAACCGAATCCAAATTTAGGCATACAATGCTGAAAATGGTTTATTACGAGGCTAAAAGGCTTACCTTGCTTGTTGGAGCTGATTTGAAGCGGGCTGGTGACAATCAATCAAAACGTTTCGAACCAAGTATGATTGATTACAGTGGTGAGCAACGCAAATTTTCTCTGTGCACAAAGCAAATTGACCAGCAAACAAACGAGTTGTGCTTCAGATGGTGTCAACTTTCAAATAATTCGCCGTAATAACTCACTTCAACTGGTTTTTCGGGATAATTTTCTCATTTTAATAAATTGGTAAAAATGAAATGAAGAAAAGAAAGATAGAGTTGATCGTTCCCTCCCCCTACTACACAATCGCCTTCGATCAAATATGTACAATCAATTGTCAGTGTGTGCTGGTGCACAATGAAGAGCATCCACCACTTTGGCCAATGTTGGCTTCATTTCACAATCAACACTTTTACCAACAAACTAAGCTGAAGAAAATTGGATGTACTTTTTTTTCTTCACTGCATTAAATTGATTAAGCTCTTGGAATAATGAACCAGTGATATCAAAAATGAAATGGAAAAACCGAGGAAAAAAAACAATAATAATAATAATAATAAAATTGTAAGCAACTGAAACTGTGCGGTAGAGACCGATTCAACGAATGAAACATAACTGCAGAGCACGCCAATTTCGTTAACGATTTTCCAACAAGACTGAGTACTGCGCACACGCACCACTTACGACTTAACAATCAACAACTCTACTCAAATAAGAAAAGAAGAAAAAAAATAAATAAATAAGTAAAACGACACAGCGAAAGAGACGGAATGAACGTAATAACACATGCGTAGCAGAAATGTTCAGGCAAGTAAATGGTGTGTTGTAAGTGCTGCTTCATACACTGTTTACTTTCGATAAATAAATGACAAAATTGACATGAGTGTGTGCCGTGTGGTCAATCCAGTGTTGGAATTGTGGTATGATATTGAAATTCGATACCAAAAAGTTTCCAAACTCTATTTTCGTTTCGTTTGCATGTATTTTATCTATAGCCACTGTACATGAGCTTGTATCGCACACTCGAGATATTCATTGTCCCAATATTTCACTTGGCGACAGGTTCAAAGCTACGAAGATAGTTTAATTGACATGAGCAGTGAGAAATAAAGAGATCAAATCGAGAGAACATGTTCAGGTGACAATTAATTTTTTTTCGTATTTGCCATTGCATCGCATCGGATCGACGATGATAGAACGACATACGAATCGTATGATACGATACTACGCTCATTGCTCATAGACTGGTCTCGCGGAATGTTTCTAGAAGATCGACAAAGCAATGAATGCAATCCAAACATATGCGATCAATGCACACAGACACCTTGTGTAAATAGTAGTTTGAGCGCATGCACAAGTGCATTACCACAACAATCAAGCTCACAGAGAGTATTTTGTCTCACAAAATATTGTATTTTCAATGTGTGTGTGTTTTTTGAGCTTTTAATTTTTTTTTGCATGTCTCTTTCTCTCTTTTCAATCATTCCAACACATGTCTGGCTTGTGTTTTGTACACTTATATTGATATACATCAAAATATTGCGACGTTTTTTTTACTCGCAAATTTAAGATCGTGTGCAATAAAATAAAGTACACAATTCGAAAACGTATCGTACATTTTGTCGGTCAATCTCAAGAAAACAACACAGAAGTGTGCCAGCAGTACCAATTCGATTATTTACGGTATGGTTTCTGTCACTTTTACCATTTTCAAGAAAGAAAAATATATGGGCAATCTCAATTCTGACAAAGTGGAACCGTGGTCACTTTTTTTTAAATTTTCTTCAACGACCCGAGTGAGACATTATTTAATATTGTCGCTGTGAAACATTAACCTGCTTATTTTACGTTGTTTTTTTCTTTTCGTTCTCATTGCGTGAAGATTTCATTTTGGTTCGTTTCTCATTCGGCCACACGTTTTGGTTTATCTCGGTTATTCATCAGCTATTTTTGTGTGTAAAAATAAAATTCGTTGTGTTCATCTTTGAGGCGTGGGGCGATAAGCACGAAAACACTTTAATATATCATTGAAACGCAATAATTCGTGCGAGTTTTAGTTTTTCTCGCGATTTTGAACCAACATTTTGACCAGATGTTTGAAGTGATTTACATTCGCTTTTTTCCACGAAAAATTCAATGAAACCATTTTTTTTTTTTGAGACAAAACCGTTTTCTTCTGGTATCAACTAAAACGAACGCGAATTCAACGAAAAAACAGAATGTGAAATCGACAATTGCGACAACGGTTAATGGATTCTGGTGATTTTTGGGACACATTTTTTTCGTCAATTTATTTAAACCAATTTTGAATAAATTGGCTCAAGTCAAGTGTGACCTCAAACTAATAGAGCTTGTATATAGTGTACGCAGAATTTTAACACGCAAAGCGTATCATAAAAAGAATACTCAAACTCTGACAGTTTGAAACGGTTCTTCTGATTTCTCTTTTGGATAATAAATCTATTGAGCATTGATCTACCGTTAGAAATGGCTTGGTTCATTTCATGCAGATTTTCTATTAAAAAAAATAATTAATAACACTATTTGCGGAGAAGAATGAGGAAATTTTTGTACAGTGTACATAGTGGCAAGAGCTTGAAATCAGGCATGCGGCCAACCGACATTCTTTTGAAACGAAGAAAAGAAATAAATTGGAAAATGACGCATTTTTATTCTAAAAATGGACGAATATGTTGTTTTTGTTTACGTCAATGAACTTATTTTAACACGTCAATTTCCCTTGAAAACTCGGCCACAAACCAAATGATTGCGTGCTGGAATCTGGACTGTGGAATTGGTCGATTTCAACAAACAGATGTGAGATTGATGTGAGATTGATCGTGTTGCGCAGCTTGAAAGAATTTCAAACGAATGTTTCGTGATCAAGCGAGAAATGTTCACGTTGCACTTGCTTGCGGTCCCGTTTTGTTTCACTTTTGCGGTTTGGTTTTCAATTTCTTATGGAAATCACTGACAAAAAATATGTTTTTCCATTCAAAAGTTATTTTCGGAAGAATATCGTACGAAAGCTAAAATTGTTACTTCGAATCGTCGTTCACATTCGTCCGTAATCTTGTTTGCTGAATCGCCGACGTAAACACATACACTCTTCTGTCTCTTTTCAGCATTCGTCGATTCCGTGCGTGAGAGGCATTTTATGTCGGTTTTTTTTCTGTTTGCTTTTATTGCGCGAGAGGTCAATTGAAGCCAACCGAAATGCGTTACGTTAACCATTTGCCGTCGCTTTCAGTCCGTACATATTTAAGTGGTCATAATTCATTTGAATTTTATGAAATTTTTTTGTCGGTTTTTCAACCGCAAAAATGATTGAAGTTGATTACGCTTGATTGACGCTCAACAACGACACAAATTTCATTAACTTTCTACTAATATTTGCTGCAGCACATTTCCTTGGTGCAAAACCCAATGCGAGAGCAGTGTGTAGGTACAATGGGCGACGACGGTGGTGCAACCATAAATAATTTTCTGCACACAGGTTGGTTTTCGCAAGGTATATCGCATTAAAATTGCAAAAGTTCATCGGGATCGCGTGTGTATGCGGCGGGCAATATTTGCGCAAATTGCAATTAATTCAAATGAGCGAGACAGAGACTCGAGTTCACGATTGAAAGAAATTCAAGACTGTCAAATCAGTTGTCGACATTTCTTGATACAATGTTGCTGATTCCATGCCAATTTATAGCTGTTCACTTTTACTTTATCTCAGCGGTCATATCTCGATGGTTGATTTTCGTTCACGATTGGTAAGTAATTTTAAGTATCCCATCGACGTCGAAATGAGGAACATTCGGTTGGTAATAAAATTCATCCAACAAGGGAAATCCTTCCGGCGAAACGACTTTTACGCGTATTTTGCTCCATCTTTTCTTCGCAGCGCTCTTAATTGCCAATGAGAAACTACGTTATAATCTCCAAATGCAATCGATTGTCTTCGATGGCTTGGTGCGCTTTTGTTTCAGTTTTACTTTCTTCCAAACTTTTCCCATATTACCATCACCGCTGCCGCCGCCGGTGAATACGTGTGGCTGTCTTATTAACACATTTTGTGTTGTTTGACTTTTTATCAGCCGGCTATGGCATTCAATACAAATGATTCTTTTTTCGTTGTTCCGCGCTGTGTTTGAATGATGATTTAGCAGCATTAATATTAATAGCGATCCATCATATATAGATTTATTATACTCAACCAAATCTCAACACATTTTCTTTTATTCCGGTTTTTAATGAATTGTTTCGTTTCTTTCTACCGGAAATCGTGCGTGTGCAACCAAATGAAAGTGTCTTTGCGCGCTCTCTTTTCAATTTAAATGCTAATGCGAAATGTAAGTCATAAAAAGGTGCTAAATAGCTTACAGTAGAAAGGGCAAGTGAAATTCGTTCATTCACACAGCTACAATGAACTTATCTAACACCTCTTTTTTCAACTATCGTTTGAGACGATGATTCTTATTTGCTAAACAGGAACAAGTGAATGCGAAAAAAAAGGTTGGAAGTTGTAGTTTTTCAACCTTGTGACTCATGAGTGGTTAAAGCATGCGTATTTGGTGCTTGGAATTCGAATTATGTCTCTCATTTTCCCGAAAAGAACTTGAAAGTGCTCAAATGGAATCGAGGAAAAAAACGTGTTTGAGAAGAGCGAGTTCCAAAGAGAAATTGAGTTCTGTTCAATTGCAAGATCTGAATTGAAATTTGTGTTGTTTGGCTACCACAACCCTTCTGTTGGTCAAGAAGGTTTTTCTTGGCTTGAACAGACCAAAAAGTGGCTGAAGTAGGCAATTTGGGCGCCCTCGGCCTAATTCTCAGAGTTTGTTCCCAGTTTGTTTGTTTGACGTCGACATTCAATGCGAATGAAAGCTGAGTGTGGCAATCGACAAAAAATGAGACAAACGGAAATAAAACGGAAATAATTGATGCTCGTTTGTGTGAATAACATCAATAATGCACATAATAATAATCCATTGACATACATCTTTTAATGCACTTGAACCGGCTCATGATTTAATGAGATACGAATGCACATATGTGCATAAAGCATACGTTTTCTAATCAAGTTTTTTTCCATCAATGATTCTCTTGGTTTTTTTCTATAAATTTCTATTTATTCATTATCATCATCGTGATAATGGAATGACGGTTCAAAAGTCGTAAAATGACCATTCTGCCATAAAAATGAGGCAGCCGCAACTTAACGGTGAAAATGTTTAGCTCCGTTGCATGCAGCGGCGATGATGCACAGAACAACAGCTTGTTCATTTTTTTTCTAAAGAAAGTATTTGATTTGCAAATAAAGCGATTGCAATCGCAGATTTAGCGAAACGAAAAATAAACAAACAATCCGAAGAAATGTGAGAACAAAAGATAAAAATCACCTTGTAGTATTCTGCACCAGTGTGTTTTCTTCTCTCTCTCTCATTCTGTGTGTGTTTGTATAATTTACGTGTTTTTCTATTTTTCACTCATTTGACGATGCATAAAATGCAAATGCAATTTCTAGCATTAGCATTTAAAAATAGAAGCGGAATTTCCTATTGTGAACTGTATGATGACACCATTTTGTTCTATTTATGCAGTCAGTCAGTCAAGAGCAAATGTTTTGTTTCCCCTATTTCCCCCATAGATCTCTCACTCGTTCAATATAATAGCAGGTCGGAATTTCAACGCATATACAAGCATACTTGTATTTCCCTTCAGCGAAAAATCAAATGAGCAAGAACAATGAGCCGATTTTCTTCCAACGAATTCGTACGATTTTAATTTTCTAATTGTATTTAATGAAATACAAAGCGCTTTGATGATTGTTACAGTCGCAAAATATGCAACAATCATTCTCAATTTTCTACCGTGCCGCTAGAAACAACAACCGGTGATTTGGCTTGATTTGCCGGTTTTGCACGAATTGCATTCAATCAGCTCGGCTGAACTTAATCAAGGCAGTTGCTGAAAGTGGCAATTAACTCAGAAGGCGTTTTTTTCTCTCGGCAAGCGCACATTCTAAAGCAATTTCTGGCTTTCGACTTTGTTTCAATTTTAAGATTCATTATAATAAAATGAAAAGGAAAAAGACTCTGCTATTTTGTACGTCGCAAAAACGTCTTCAACGTGTTTCAACGTGTCAATTCTTCTTTTCAAAAATGAAAAGATTTTCTTCAGATGAACGATTTTTAATTAATCCATTTTTCTTGCTTTCGAACCATCAACAGCCAGTGCAAAAGAAAGTCAATTGTTTGAGATACACAATGAAAATGAAAAGTACACAGCAGCAGCTGAACCTTAAAAAATCACCACCACCCAAATGGGAGTAGATAGTCAAGCAATGTGGCTAGCGCTGAATAGGCAACCAAATAACATTGTAATTAAATTGCCAATTGAAATTCTGAACTTAATTGAAGTAGCAACAGCAACAGCAACAGCAGAATGTTTACTAAAGCAATGAACAACGCAATTGTAACGCATTCATTATTTTATGAATTGATTTTGGACATTGAACATTAGCCGTGAACAAAAAAGAGAGAAAACAAATATTCAATGTCAATTGAATGGAAAGTGGCTTCAGCAAAGTGCTGGACAATGTCGATCGTAATGATTTCTTGTTTTCTCAATTCAACGATGGATTTCATTGTTCTTTGTCAATAGATTTGTTTCGATATTCTCTATCATTGAATCATTTAGTAAATTCACGTCAATTGGAAAAATTTAATTTCACCACTTAAAATCGAGATCACACAAATGGCAATTATAAAAGACCTACACCTTAAAGAATAAATCTTCGAATAAAATGGAATTTATGGCCAGTCTTTTTGTCAATATTGTGAACAATTTTTTCATTAAAATACCAAAGAAACGAGATATTTTTAGCTTTCAAATCAAGTCATTCAACAGCAAAAATCGCGAAAAACTAAAAAAAATATTTAAAATTGTAAATTTTTTATTCATTGTTGAAATGTATGAATTTATGATGGATACGGTACTTGGGTCATTTGCGTAGGTAAGATGTATTCTGTGAGAGATTGGCTTTTAGTTATGCCGCATTCTACAATCGTCCAATGCATTCTCCATACCCAGTGACTGCTTGACACCATAACGAAATCGCCGCTAGACTTGCTCGTCGTCTACCCAGTTGATGGGTTAATTGGTATTCTTTTTTTAGAAGAGCCGCAGCATTTATGTTGATACAACAATTGTTGATGTGTGTCCGTGCACAAGATGATTTGCAGCTAGACTGATGATAAGCACTTAATAATGCTGCCGTAAATATTCATTTTGTGTGTGTGTGTGTTTTTGTTCTGGCATAAAGTGCTATTTAATTTTCACCGTTACATCGTCTGTGCTGTGCTGCTGAAAACTAAATCAAAATGCCAAACCATAAAATCGCTGAAATGTCTTGGCATTTCTTTGCATGTGAAGTAATCGTTGTACGCATCACAGCCTCATTGCTCAAGAAGAATATGCTTGAAATATGTGTATCTGCCAAGAGAAATTTCACCGCGATAAATCTCGTGAAGCAATTCGTTACAATAGGTCAAGCCGCTGTAATGGATTTTTTCTGTCTTTTTGTTGTGTGCTTGCTTCGTCGACCGACGTTCTTTTTTTTTGCTTTACACTACTCGTTTCAAGTCTCGCTCGATAGAATTTCAACATTTTTCTATTCTTTGGAAAGAGCAACAACAAAAAAATCAGCGAAGAGAATCTTTCTATTGAGAAACAAACATTGAACAGCAAATAAAACCCATGAAATATTGCACACAAAGAGTACATTGATTGTACCCCAATCGTTTGACTGACCCATCTCGTCGTCTGTGAAATCAAGAACACGAGCGCCACACAATTCAATTGGGAGTAGCTTATGAATTGATGCCATTGCAATCAACAGCACAACAACCGAGAATAATATTCCCGTTTGATTTGTTCTAATTTTTCACCGGACGAATGACTGAAGAATGGTAAATTTTTTTTTGCAAAGAATGAAATCGACCGACAACAAGATGGTTAGCTGTACAGGATGACGGTAAAAACTCGAGCCCACTCGATTCGAAACAATATAGACCAAGCCGATTAAGCCATTATAAGAAGAACCTAATACTTTAAATTTTTTTAAACAGAATTTAATGATGATAGTAGAATTGCCCAAACGAAATGAACCAAAAACATTTGATCCGGTTGATAAATCGCATTGGCGATTATTGCTTTTTAATTGTGTGTTTGGCATCAGCTTTTGGTGCTTACCTTTCATTTTTTGTAGCAACATTCGAAACACTAACAAAATCATTTACTTTTTTACATAAAAAATTTCACATCGGTCGCATTTTAGTAGTATCTCTCGGTCGATTGACCGTCATCGCTCATCGATAATAGAATGTCGATGCTGAAATCACATTACCTCTCTCGCTCGACACAACTTCTGTTGCGATCAGTCAGTTTTGTTCTCATGGTCGTAAAATCTGTGCAAATAATTGTTTGATTTTGACTCATAAACATAACATTTGTTTCGATCAACGTTTATTTTTGATTATTTATTCATATTAAAGCGTTTTTTTCTGTTATTAACAAAATATATAATAGGATTCTCACAGTGAATAAATTCGATCAAAAATATTTGTCGTTTGCTTTTCCAAACATTTTTGCCTTATCTTCTTATATTATTTTAGAGTACTCGATACTAATTTCTATATATTTAAGCCTACGAAGAACTTCTTGAAACAAATGTGTGGAAAAAACATGTGAAAATCGACATTCGATTAAACAAAAATGGGCGAAAAAAGTGGATGACCCGTGTTGTAGCTCAGACTTCATCGGAATGACATTGTTGTAACATATTAACGTCTGAATGTGTTTGTTTTTCTCTGGCTAAGGAATCGCGTCGACATGATTACATTTCATCAAACATGTCCATGTTTGAGTCTTCAATGTCGTTGTTGTTTGACTGGACGTGTTGGGTGTTGAAGTCATCAAATTTGAAGAAGCTCTGTGCCTCTTCTTCGGAAATGGTGCTCATTTCGCTTTCGTTGGCGGTGATCAAACCCAGGTTTTCGTTGATGAGCGATTGCCACAGTTGGACCTTTTCGCGTTCCTTCAACACCTCCTTGAACTGTACGATCCATTCGTTGTATCCGAATGGTGCCTTTTGCTTGGCCGTTTCACGATAGGCTGACAATGCTTTCAGAACCTTCTCGTCCATCGCAACAATTGATTTTACCACCAAATTGTTGATGACGGTTTGGATTTGTTCCGCGAGCAGATTGAACGCTTCACCCAGCTCGAGCAGTTTGATAAAGTCGTCGGCCGGCTTGACAGTTCCGATCTCGTGCACGTCGTAGTACTTTGGTTTTTCCAGCTGATCGGCTGAGTCGGCTTCTTGTTTTTCGACTTTGAGCATGTTTTGCAGGAATGCTTCTTTGCCCGTCAACTTGGCCGCCTCCAGTGGGAACAGTGCCTTTAGTTCATCGACATTGGTGTCGCGCTTTGGTGGTCGAACCAACGACAATATTTCATCGTCCACTTTGAGAACGGGTTCGCTTGGGTTGATTGCTCGATTGGCGATGCAACGGTACATATGCTGCAATCCTGGGTCCAACAGTTTCTTGAACGGCTCCGGTTGACCATCATTCACTTTTGCGTTGTCTTTTGTCAAATCCATTGCATCAACGAATCGACCCATGGCTTCGAGCTGCTCGGAACTCGGTGTGGTTTTCTTTGCGTTCAGCTTCGGGAATCGCATGTCAACGTAATTGTCTTTGAAGAACAATTCGTACATCAGCAAACAATTTTCGCTTGGAAACAATGCCATCATTTTTGGTGCGGTGCCCTCACGATACGTGTATCGAGCAATGATGGCCAATTGCTTATTGTGCATTGCTTGCAGCATGGCAGCAAAACGTTTCGCCGAAGTAGTCATTCCGTCTTGTGGTACAACCGCCCAGATCGAATCGCCCACCAAATGACTGTCATGAACTGTGTCTATATCGGTGAATCCAATGACCTTCAAGCCTTTTCCACCGTTGTCGTACTTATCATCTTCGAATGGAATTGGCTCTCCGCCATACATGTACCTATGAGTGAAAGTTTCTCATTATGGTATCATTTGATTCTGATTAAAGGAATGTTTCTATTTGTTAAAACCTCTTTTATATCATTGTCTAAATATAATTTTGTTTTTGTTTTGAATTTGAGCAAAACGTACCCTTTTATCAAGTTTTCGGCAACAGTTTCGAGATCGAGGACTTCATCGTTGAGATAGTGCTCAGTTTTCATGGTCACGTTCGAGATTTCAACGTTGGAAGATGAACCAGATGGGTCGCCATCACTTGGACCTTCGTTGGTCGACGGAACTTTGTTCACGAAACGTGTCTTCCAATCACCCAGTTCTTTGTCGTTACGAACCTACACCGAAACATGTGAATTGAAAATTGATTTATTTGTTCTATTCGAATTACGGAGAAATCAACAGAAATCGAATTTTCATATTGAACTCTAGCTTTGTCCCTGTTTGTATTTTGATTTTGTACCACACTCACATAAATAAATGCCGAAACTTTGATAGCCAGATTGCTGCCAATGGTGAGATCGACCTTCCATGGAACACGTCTGCGTTGCTTCTTGTCCACGTAAATCAATTTTGCAGCCGCTTCATCAATACTGCACAGCACACCATCGCTTTGCATCACAATCTGCTTGATCAATCGTTCGCTATGTTCTTGTACCTTATCCTTGCCCATGGCTTGACTGAAGTTGGCGTATTGATCTTCACTGTCTTGATCCATTTCGTATATCACATTTTTTGTGCTGAATTTGTAAATAAAATTGAGTGTTTTGAAAACCTTGTTTCAAAGCAACTGACAGAAGTAAGGTGTTGATATAACTTACACAACAATGAGCTCGATTTCGAGATGCTTCAAGCCACCAATCACTTTGTCAATGTTTTCGGCATCATTCACATCCGTGGTGAATGTTGTGAAGAGCAGAATTTTCTTTGTGGTCTTTTTGAGACTGTGGACATAAACCAGATTTATTTTACAAAGTTAATTCCAGAAATAAAATTTCAATTGTCGTTCACAATGATCGAATCATCATTGGTGTCAACGAAATTGCCAAAAAAATTACTCCAAATCGTTGAAATAGTCCATGGCAACCACAACGGCATCCAACCAATCGCCTGTGATTCCCTCGTCCATCGGCGGATCGATGCTCTTTTGAACGTACTTCAAAATATCCCAGCTCATCGGGCTCAATGGAATTGCGTGGTTGATGTTTTCGTAGCCACTTCCATATCGCTTGTTCAATTCGTTGTCGGTCGTTTTGGTTCCGAACAAGAAAAGCGACACCTCATCTTTTGGTCGGGTGAAAATCTACGAGACATGCACATGCATGCAAACACAACAGTCAACATGTCGAACAACGACACTTTGGTTTGCATCTGAAAGTGATTGAATATTGCATAATACCTTACGTGTGATGGCGAATTCGATGCAACTCTTCGCCTCTTCGAAGAACGTTTTCGATTTCAATTTGTCCAATTGATTTGTATTTGCGCCGACATCCAAAATGATGATTGTAGCATCCTTGTGGAATGAAAAAAAAATGCATTGCATTGAAATAGCTACAGAATTGCAATTGTAGGGAATATCGATCAAAAATCCATTCCTTTTTTCATTACCTTTGTAGCAGCCATATTTCCGATCAATTTTCGGACACTTTGATTCAATCTAAAAACCAATTCTCTTTATGACAATCACTGTGAATACACGCGCCAAAAACACAAGCACCGGTTTATCTGTGTTTTGCGTCTTATTGTGAAATTAATCAGTTGACAGAACCGTCAACAGCGCTCAGTTCGAATTACAACTGTCATTCGAAAAAAATTCGAACTTCGAACGTTAGCAATATTGAATAGAGTTAAGGTGACTGGGTTCAGAACATCCAAAAAATTGGTATATTGATATATTGATGGATAAGCGGAAGTTTCTAGCTCAAATTCAAAAGTGAGATGCAAGCGACTGTTTTGTTGTTGACATTTGGTGTGATGTTGAGTTCCACTTTCAAGCAAGTCAAGAATTTATACATCAATAGTAAAAAGTACGTTTGGTCAATTCTGTTTTGGATTGAAATTGTTCAGAAATGATGGGTTTTTGACTAAAAACCAAATCAATTGTAAGCATTGAATTGATTCAGATGAATGTGAAAGGTTCACCATGGTTGGAATTGAAAGACTTGAGTTTAAGTGACTTTTGGCATCATTCAGAAAGTTTAAAAAAAAATCGTTTGTGTTTTAGGTTAAAATCATTAACTGATTTTCAATTTTTTTTTTCTCGTTTATTTTGAACATTTTTATTGTTAGCGTTGAAAATTGGTTGCATTCCATTGGCATAGATATGCCAATATGCGCACTCAATTACGTCGCGTACAATTCGAAAAAACGGATTTACAAAATAAGTTTTGTTGTTGTTGTTGTGGTTGGTGGAAACTGTTTGGATGTTACAAGTTCATAAGCAGTTTAGAAGCGAATAATTTAAGCCTTGGTTTGCTTGTTGCGTGGTTTGGCTTGTCCACCCTCACGGAATCCGTTGCGGAAGCGACGACGCACAATTTTCAAGTAACGGCATCGGCCAGTTCCTGTGGTCTTTCTGCGCTTTGCCTTGTCTGACCAATTGTCTGTGTTGATGGAAGAAACAAAAAGAACAAAATCGAATTAGCACTTCGGTTCAAATCGATCTACTGCAAATTTATCTCAAAGATTAGTGACAGAATGACAATGTCGAAAATCTGTCCGAAAACAAGTTCAAATCAAGTTGAAAATATTTTGTATGGAGACTTTCTGATTTGATTTGCCTAGTGTTGCTTGAGACACGAACCAATGGCATATGAGAATGCATCTTCAAAGACACTGGCACTAATTCAATAGGGTTACTTTTGCACTGATTTCATCGGGTGGCACTTACATGATCGGATTTTAGCAGCTGGGTATCCGCATTGGGCGCAAACTGACTTCTGGATGTGGTACGATGAGCGACCGCATCGTCGACACAATGTGTGCGTCTTATTATGACGCTTTCCAAAACTTGATGTACCTTTCGTCTGAAAAATTCACAATGGATTCGGAAAGAAATTGATTAGATTCATTGCTTAGTGTGTATGTGTCTATGTTCCAATGGACCACATGTTTTATTTTGATCACTCGCTTGAAATTGATATTGCAAATCTTCCAAAACACCATAAATCAAATTCGGTTGCAACTAAATAACATTTTGCTTCCTTTTTCATTCAATTGGTTCAATTTTTAGCTTTGGTCAGCTCAAAATAGTTTTCAACCGATTCTAATCAAGGCAAATCGAACACATATCAGCACCACGCATTGGATGCCGTACAAAACACCGCTCATAATAAATCACGAAAATCACATATTTTCACACAGCGATTTTCCGAAATATAATTATTATCTAATTCATCATCACTATGGGTACAAAATTTCACAAGAATTTAGCGATTTGATATACGGATGATTTGGAAAATTTGCAATTTTTTTCGCTGAACAACACATAAACGTACCATTTTAGTTGACGTTAACCAAGAAAAGAGTTTGACAATTGACAGTTGCGCTTGCCGTTGACTCTCTCATTCACTCAATGAGCGTGTTGACCGATGCGAGGGATTTTTTTCCCGACTGAACAGAAATGAGTGCATTTCATTCCGACAAACCAATGAAAAAAAAAACAAATTTAAGGAAGATTTGAAAATAAATGTATAAAATATAAGCAACGACAAATTTGAATATAAAAATATTAAAAAATGAAGTACATTTTCCTGCAAAAGTCGAAGGTAATGTGATATGTGAACATTTGAACAATGCTAGAAATATTCCCGATTATTCATGACTTCGATGCTCAACAGTCATAAGAATACTAACTGCTAAAATACTTTTTTCAAGAAGTTTGTTTCATTTATTTGACCGTATTCGGTTGATTCTTTATCGGAAAACTATTTATCGTATTAAATTTAAAGTGGTGTGACCCAACGTCAAACCCGTTTATGAAATGACCCGTCGAAAATGACTTATGACAGGCAAATATTATAAAAGACAAAATATCGATTACCAGTGTCAGTTGAGTTTTGGTTGCTGAAGACATAAGTTGGCTCACAAACTAGTCCTTGCTAAATTGAATTACTGCAACATTTTCAAACGATCTATCAAAACTGTTTAGAGTGTGAAAATTTTCAATTATATTTCAATAACGAACGGAACTTGAGGAATTGTAAAGATAAAACGAGCGTGATAAATAGTCCATAGAATTTACTGAAGAAAACGGTTGATTTTTTAAAAATAAATACCTCTTATTTTGTGTTGTGTGTAATTTTCAACGTTTTTTCACAGGACCCGCCGATAAAATGAAAATCACGGATATGAATCTAATCTGTCTCGAAGAATGTTTCGGGTATTCGGAACTGGAGACTCTTTTGAGAGTGGCTGATTCGAATAAACGACTACGCAAAGCCGCCGAATCTGTTTTCCTTCGGAATTTTAGCCGAAAAACGGTACTGATCTCAAAAATGCCGATACAACTTTATTAATTTTATGACAGAGTATACGGTAGAGCACATGTCAGCTTTTTTGCGTTTGAATCCACAGTTGAAAAAAGTGCGTCTTTGTGGGCAAAGAAACAACGAACCGATGTTCGCTCTAGATACGTTTCTAGATGTTATTGTGTATTATTATGAACTAATGAAAAATCTTAAAAGATTTGACTTGATTTAAAATTTTGCATTATTTTTCCATTCAACGGCAACTAAATTCATTGCAACATTTGGGAAATTCCTCATTATTCGTGGTTGAACAACATCCATACATTCATATCAATATTGGTGATTACCCGACAGCAGATTTTTTCAACATCATTGATCGACACCCAACCACAAAGACGTATACCATCGAGGTCATTAATCAGGAATATTTCCAGCGTTGCACAAACTCATCACTTTACCTTCGTCTTGTAGGAGAATGTACTTCATTTTGGAATATTATCATTTAAAATCAATTATTTTATGGTCACTGCACGTTTACAAATATAATACGAAAACATAACAAATCCGAATAAAAATGTCAAATTAATCATTGTTTTTATTTCATTCTCATCTGATTTATACGATTAAATGCAATTTTGAATTTACTTCGCTATATATCCATATTGGATACAATTTTTGTCGTGCACCATTCTATTCTGGTCTTAGAGAAAAGAATGTGAATGAATTAAATTCTAAACTAGCAAAGAAGAGTTGAGATGGAAGAAGTTGTAAGGGGCACTTTAACCTTCTTGAGAAGTTGTCGATTTTTGAATGTTTCACGGGTGGCTCGCGTACGACTTATCTAGTATAGTAATCCTAAATTTCACCTATGCTTCTTGCACTTGCCCGTGCACGCAGTTAGAGTATTTTCTTGTTCTTTTTTGAATATTCCATATTTTCAATCCTTCCACCGACTTTTGCAGTGAGTTCAATCGGTATTTGTTTTAAATTTTAAAACTCACTGTGCCTTACAATATGGCAAACAAAATATTCATTCTCTTCCTAAACTGATGGAAAAAATGAAAGAGGAAAGAAACAGAGTGTTTTCTTTTAGTTTTTTACTCTTCGATTTTATTCAAAATGGCAAAGAAAATTGTATTTGCAACAAAAACGATACATATTTTAAAATTTATTGAATTAAAATGCCGAATTGCTGGCCTAATATGTCTGTCAATGGCCATTGCATTCACTGACTGATTTTCAGGCGATTTATTATTTTTTGAGTAAATATCAGATTTTGTTCCTGTTTTTAAATTCATTTATTCATTTATTTTTGCTCTTTTTTGTTGTATTGTTTAAAATAGCATTTTCAATGAACGTTGATACACTTTTGCCTACACCCCTGGCTGAATGCTTTACGCCGGTTGAATTAAAGATATTATGAATGTTATGTGTGTGGCGTGCGTGTATGCGACTGATCTATCTCTAGATCAGTGTAATTGTGAGCTTGGTTTTCGAAATTTTTGCCTGTATTTTGTTACAATTCTTCTATCGAATGAAGAGTAAATCATAGGAAGTTTTATTATTTGATTTATAAAATATAGTACGAATCTAGTTTGAATATATTAAAGCGACTAGTTTTTCTGTTGTTGTTTTTTGCAAATAAGTGACCTGCAATTAGTGGGGAAAATGCAATTTGATATGTGTGAAATAATAGTAAAGCAAAGGGATGATGGGAAGCGTATCCTACGATAATTTTGATTTTGATTATTTGCTTGTTTTTATTGATCATTTTACCACCAATCTGTATCCCTTTCTCGTGGCATGAAAAAGCCTTTGCTTTGTTCAGAAAAATAGAAGCATTTCAAACGCAATTTAGAAAGCAACTTTCATTATTAACAATTGAAATTGCCCATTTCAAGTTGCTAACTTAATAGTCAAACGTGAGTTAGTGACAACAACAGCATTTTTTCCTTTAATTTTTCTTTAAATTGACTTGATTTTAACCATTAACCATAACAATTGCTCATTCATTCGTTCCAAATCCCACTCGAAATATTGTCATAATCAAAACTTGAGGAATTATTTAAATTTTTTGCAATCTTATTAACGCTACAAATATATCGTTCTGAATTGAATGTGAAATCGAATAAAAATGTCTTGAAACGATAAAACTAGTATGAGGCGATCTGTATTCGTTTTTATATATGTATCATGTTATTTTTTCTTCTCTTGAACCAAAAAAAACTGATCTCGTTGCGTAATGAATGAATGAAACATTATTTTATTTAAGGCATTATTTTTTTTTCTTTTCATTGAATAAAAACATGTTTGCGTTTGACCGAAATAAAATAAAAAATCAACGAAAAATTTCGTTCAAAAAATCTTCCGGTTGTATGGAATGGAAATGATTTGTGTGTTTTATCGTTCAAGCATGGTTGGTTCACTAATATGTTATTAGTTAAAAGTATTGTACCTAAAAAGCTAGTGTGTAAAATAGATTTATTAGCCTTTTGCGTTTATTTTTTTTATTTTGTAGTATTTTAATTTCTAACAATGTGATTTAATGAGGCAATCAATTCTCCGTCTAAACTCCAACTACCTCTTTCGACGTAGAAGAGGCAAACCAAAAACCAAAATGGAAGAAGCGAAAAATCAGGCACCTAAATATATTTTCAATTTTTTTTTCTATTCATTTAAAAATCATTTTCTTAGCGATAACAGCAAAAATTCGTTGCGAAGTGTTTAAACAAAAATTGGAATTTCTCATCAAATTGCTACGCATTCAAATCACTAACCTTCGTTCGTTCGTTCGTTCTTAGTTCGAACAAAAACTCCCAAAAAATCAAACATATTCGTTACGTGTTAAATTCTTAAATGCCAATTATTTGGTTTCAATAAATATTTCAACGAAGATAAAACCCAAAACAAAGTGCATACCGCATATCATATCACAGAGAGACAATTAATTTGAAAACCAATTTTGCTCAACATACGAAATCACTGGCTGCTTTCTGTCTATCAATAAAATTACGCATAAATTGTTTATCGTTATCGCAAGTTAATCTTTCAATACATGTAATAATTGACTCATTTCGCTGACAAGCCATAGCTATATAATTCGATTTAGTAATTATGAAATGCAATTCTTATCACAATATATTTGGTTTTTGTAGTTTGAAATGTCCATTTATAATAATCATAGAAATTGAAAGCAATAAAAGTTCATTATCAAGACAAATCGTTCATAATTCAATGATGAGATCATCTATGATCTATCCTTGGACTCTACAGATATTATTTATGATGTGTAGCGTGAGGCAAAAATAGTAATTCATCGTGCTTCTCGGTGCAAATGTAAAATACCAAAAATATCAAGCGAATACAGAGAATAAATGCAATATAAATCCCTATTATATTTGAATTATACCGAAAGCGGCGGCGGTTGCGACGCACCAACAACGGTCTATCTCTCAATGTGAATGTTTTTGTGAGTGTACTATGTTTATTTAAGGTATATTTGATTTGATGCAATTGATCTGAGTTTTGACATTTATTTCTATACGATTTACTTCATCGTTTTGTTCAATGAATTATTTTAACGCTCATATCGCTCCTTCTCTTTTTTCTTCATACAATTTTGTTTTGATCCGTTTCGTTTGTATTTTGGTGAATGATTTGACCTAATAGTCTCTAATTGCTTATTGGTATATATTTTTTTCTGTAATTTAAATTATTTTTGATTTTTGTTCAACAGCAGCTGCTGAAAGAGAACGTCAATCGGAAAATTATTAATGTATGTTTTCTTAATTTTTATTCGTTATAACAACTCGAAAATAAATCGCTTGAATTCCATTTGTTTGTTCACACTCCATTCGCTAAATAAAAATGTTCAAGGTGGGTTCCTGTAATGCAATTTCCTAATCCTTATGTGATTCATTTCTTTGGTTTTATACTCAATTCTCATTCCTATCTACAAAAGTCCGTTTCATTGACTCTTGAATGTGTATTTGTATTTGTATTTGTATTTGTATCTGTATTTGTATCTGTATTTGCGGCGATGAGCTATCAAATCACCATTGAGCATGCATCTAACTATTAGCTTTTATTTAACATTTGACACTTATTCGAAGCGAATGCTAATTCTCGTATTTGTTATTTTTTGTTTTGTTTCAAGGCAATTTGTACTCTTCGTCGCCATTGGAAGAGTATAGCCTGTTGGATTCCCATCACAGACATCCAACGACTGAAATTACGTTTCATCATTGCTTTTGGAATTCACTTTGATCGATTCAATTGTATAAATCTTGACGACCCTCTACAGCCGTTTGATTGTATCGCCGGTGAAAAATAGCGAGAATTTCCGTTTGAACGATATTGGCTCTTCTTCTTCGCTACTGCCACTTTCACTCGTGCTCAGCACATCTTCGCCGAAAATTATTGTTCGTGTGTACGGCGGAGATGGATCACTAGGATCATCGGGTTCCAGGAAACCAGGATTCAATATGATATTCGGAATGATACCAATTGACTCCCATTCGTCTTCCTCTGTGTATTTGCCGACAGCAAAAAGGAGAAGAAAGAGAGAAATAGATAAGTGATTCATTGGTGACATGGTATTTGAAGGTACAATCATAAGAAAAAAGTTCTTGATGTAATACAAAAATGTATTGAAATAATGATAAACTACAAAGAGAAATTCACCTCGCAGCCGTTTCTCCTCCATCTCCAGATAATGATCACGAAGCAATAATATGCACAACGTAAAACCTAACACAACCAATGCGCTCATACTTAGGCCAACGGCATACACCCAAATTTTTGGATCGAATCCTTCTACATCCTTTAAAATGATATCCAACACACCTATTAAAGAGAGAGAAATGGAACAACGTTGGTTTTACATTTTGTATTCTATAGGCTAATGAGTACCATGTCAATAAAATGATAATTTCTTACTTTCGTCGCTCAGTTGCCCGAGCGTTGTCGCCGATGTTGTAACGGCTTCGCCGGCGCCCAGATAATTGTTGGCCCACAGTCGGAATTCATACGTCGTGTTCGGAATCAAATGATACACCTCATAATAGCGCTGTGAACAAATGTCATTTAGTTTTCATGTAAATTCTACTAGTTTTTGCTTACTTTACAAAGATGAGGCAAATTTGAATAATTTAAAAAAAACTTAGAGAACCCAACATAAACATTCCTCTCTTACCACATTCGCTGGAATATTCTGTGGATCCAATTGATGCCATAGCAATAACGATGCATTGGTCAATTCATCAACGTCGGCACAGTATTTGCGAAATTCAGCAGTGAAACTTTTGACTGGATAGCCGCCGGAATGATTCGATGAATATTCCCATATTAGAACGCCTAAAATTGTCGATAATCGTACGCTAAGCTTAGTCACTGGTCCAGGTACCGATCGCACCTTCAGCACAATCGTTAAACCCTCGAGAAAACTGTTATCGGTTGGTTTTTCTTGACTTGACCATGACGAATCGTCGTCGTTACCAACTTGCGTCAATTCTGATTCATCCGGACTCACAAGGCAAATGTATATTCCAGCATCACTCGGTTGAATATTATTGATTCGCAAATCTGGTCCTCGCTATCAAACAACAGAAAGAGAAAAAAAAGTGTCAAATTCATTTCTCATGCTCACATCACACACTGTCACGTGCTTGTTGTGCACATATTTTTTTTTATTGTTGTTGTTTGTTTCAAACCTTACCACAAATTCTCTCGTTTCATTGCATTCTTCTTTGACCCACATAAGGGTTGAACCGTGAGCCAAGCAGGGAATCGAAATATTATTTCCAGCGTCTGTTATGTATTCGTTGAATTTGATGACCGACGAGCACACCGAAAGTACTGAAACATTCAAATGTACAGAAAAAAAAAGTTACTTAAAAGACGAACCAAAAATGTGGGATATTTTTATGGTGGTAACACTAAAAAATGGCGATGACGCTGTACTCTATAAGGTCGCAGATTTTGACACATCTATCATTGTATCTATCATTGTAAACGTTTAACCGGAGAACGAAGCTGGCGAAAAGTACAGTATTTTTTTTATTTTTCTGGAAAAGTATGCAAAAAACAAAGAGGTTTACTAAAGGAAAGTGAATCAAGAAGCTGCCATTTATCGAATTATTTTGGAATTTTTCCCGTAAGTTGAATTAAATTCTGTTCAAAACACAAGAAAAGGTGTAGTGGTTGTGTGAAATTTGTTTACAAGCGACATTTTGAGGTTAGCAAAATACTAATCGATTTGTCTTTTACAGCCAATTCCAACGAATCAGCTTGACCCGTTCCACAAACAGAAGCAACAACGGCACCGCAAACAAAATGCCAAAGTATTATTGTGATTATTGCGACACATATTTGACACACGACTCGCCGAGTGTGCGGAAAACACATTGCATTGGTCGCAAACACAGAGACAATGTCAAGTTTTACTATCAAAAATGGATGGAAGAACAGGCACAGCATTTGATTGATGCCACCACTGCGGCATTCAAAGCCGGCAAAATCGCACAGAATCCATTCTCAAATCCACCTCCAAATATGACGGCCGTTCCACCGCCCACTGGATTTGGACCACCACGAATGATGCCACCACCAGGTAAATATAAATCGGTTTGGTTAGCCGGTTAGTCAAGGATTGATCAAATACTGTGAAATACACATATGAGTGTCTATGCAAGTGAATCATTGAATGACCGTTTTGTTTAGAACCAATCAAAAAGTGGGAATTGATTTTCAAAACTTTATTTCAATAGGTATGCCACCAATGGGAATGCCGCCTGGTATGATGCCACCCGGAATGCGCCCAGGTCAAATGCCTGGTGGGATGCAAGGTAAGTTTTTTTGGAGTTTACTATTCGAGAGACTAGTAAACCAACACACATTTCAAAGAAATGTTAATAAATAATATTTTTTTCCCAACAAGGCGGACCAATGCGTATGCCACCGCTCACTGCTATGCGTCCACCTATGATGGCTCCACCACCACAGCTCAGTCAGTCTGCTCCGGGAGACGATTAGGACGCGACGAAATTGACATAATTTAGGGTTTAAATTGCGCAGATTCCATTCGGTGTGAATTGCCGACTGAATATAATTTCGATTATTTTTAATGTAATGTCTCTTATTTGATTACTATGATGAAATGGAAATAATAAATATATTTGAAACTAAGCAATTGTTCGTTTCATAATAAAACTTTTATTTCGTTTGTTTCCTTCGTATTTTTATCGACACACGATTTTTTTTCGGTCTACGGCTATCGATTTTTGCCATTAGGGACTGTACGTTTATGCAAAATGACTCAATCATGTTTGTTATTCAGTCTCAATAGCATGTTCCAATACATTTTCTATTTAATTGAATCGCAGCTACAGTTTTCGTGTGATTATTGGTTATAAAAAATGTTTCTCCGCACACATAATGACACATGTACGCTATAAATAGTACGACCGCACTTTTGCAATATTGCGATTGAGTGATGTAGTGCTGGGTTAATGTGAATGGTTTGACAAATGTATAATTTGCCTTTGCATATAACCTATCTTTTGACATGAAGTTTTTACTGAAGAATTCTATACAATTTATCGTTCTCTAGCCTTACGTTGAGTGAGATGATTCACAATTGTCGTGCAAAAACTGTTCGAACACAATTTTTTGGGCAAATAAAGGAGAAAAATTCATTTCATAACATTGAGTGTAAAAAATGTTGTTTGATAGGATTGAACGCAGAAGAGCCATATCCAGCTTCTGAATCGGACTTTATTCATCGGTTCATATGGTGTAGTGGTTATCACATCTGTCTAACATGGCCCGCATGGGTTTAGCGCACAGAAGGTCCCTGGTTCGATACCAGGTATGAACATGTTTCTTTTTTTTATTTTCAATTTCTTTAGCTTTTTTAATTGTCTTTGATTAAAAACTAGAAAAAAATTACATGAAGCTTCCAATTATTCGCATTTTTTTTTACAAAGGAATGTCGATTTCAGACCAAATTTGTAGGTGAATCTGTGTTCAAATGTGTGGAAACTCATATTTTTCGACAGAAAAATGGTACTTTTTCCACACGAAAACATCATGAGAGGCCATTTCCGACCATTTTTTTGTGTGAAATAAGTGAACGATTGTATGCTTCATATAAAATCACATTTATGACATACAAAACACACTTACAATGACTTACTAAGGATCTATACGCATCTAATTTTTGACGAGGAATCGATTTAACCCTCTAATGCATATATTTTATACAGAGCTGGGAATTTTTTTCCATGCTTATTTTACCTCATAAGCACTTAAAAAAATATTCATAATCTGGTATAATATAATGCTGGAATTATCAATAAATCGCAAAAATCAAAATGGTCTTATAAGTACAGTCATGCATTTACGACCAATATGGAAATTGCGAAGTATATGAACAAACCGAATTTGCATAGCTGTACTTATAAGAACAGCTTGCAAATTG